GATGTGAAGTCACTTCGTTCTATGAGAGCCTCATGTCAGGTAGTTCTTGCTGAGATTACTACTATGGAGGAAATTTCGTGGCGACAAAAATCTCGGGCTCTCTGGCTAAAAGAGGGAGATTGTAACACAATTTTTCACAGACTCGCGAGTGCCCACAGAAGGAGTAATCACATAGGACGTATTTGGGTGGATGGTGTGGAGTTATGGAGGAAAGAAGAGGTGCGTAATGGGATTGCTTCTTTTTATTAGAAGCTTTATACCAAGCCGTTAGCTTAGAGACCCAAACTTGATGGTCTCCATTTTGAGGCTATTTCTGAGTTGGATAGAGATGGGCTTGAGACTTCTTTTGCTGAAGACGAAGTTTTAAAGGCTTTATCAAGTTGTAATGGGGATAAACCTCCGGGCCTGATGGGTTTACTATGCGGTTTCTGATAAAAAGCTGGGCTGGTAGTGAGAAACAAGGTGATGGGTACATTTCAGGCGTTTCATTCTACTGGCGTATTTGAGAAGTCGCTAAATGCCTCATTCATTGCCTTATCCCTAAGAAGGGTGGCGCTTCTGACATTAAAGATTTTAGACCAATTAGCTTAGTGGGTTGTATTTACAAACTCATGGCTAAGGTTCTTGCTCTCAGTATGAGGGATGTCATGGATGGGATTATTTCGGATTCCCAGAATGCTTTTGTCGGAGGGCGGCAAATACTAGATTCAATTCTTATTGCAGGCGGATGTGTGGATTCTAGACTGTGAAGTGGTGTTCCCGGAGTCTTATGCAAACTTGATATTGAAAAAGCATCTGATCATGTGAACTGGAATTTCCTGCTATATTTGCTAAAAAGGATAGGTTTTGGAAGTAGATGGAGGAAATGGATTGAGACATGTCTTTCGTCTGTCAAGTTCTCTGTTCTTATGAACAGGTCTCCTGCTGGTTTCTTTGGGTGTACCCGCGGTTTAAGACAAGGAGATCCTCTGTCGTCTTTCCTTTTTCTAATTGTTATGGAGGGCTTGAACCGACTAATGAGAAGGGAAGAGGATCTCAGTCTTATTATGGGCTTTAGGGCGGGTAGAGATCTAGCCCATCAGGTGGAGATCTCTCATCTACTTTTTACGGACGACACCCTAGTTTTCTGCAATGCTAATGTGTCTCAACTTCGATATTTGAGATGCATTCTGGCCTATTTTCAGGCGGTTTTTGGGCTGAAGGTCAACGTGGCTAAGAGCGTGCTTGTCCCAGTAGGGGATGCTCAGGATATTTCCTCTTTAGCTGCAGTCATTGGGTGTAGGGTGAGTTCTTTTCCTATTCCTTATTTGGGTTTGCCCCTAGGGGTTTCCTCTAGGAGAGTGGGGAGTTAGGACCCTATGAGTTACAGGTATGCAAAGAGGTTGGCACGAAGAAGCAATATTTGTCTAAAGGGGGGAAAGTTACTCTTGTAAAGAGCACTTTATCGAGCCTTCCCACATATTTTTTTACCTATGTTCCAAATTCCATGCTCTGATGCTGATAGGAGTGAGAAAATACAAAGGGATTTCCTTTGGGGCGGAAGGGGTGAAGAGTTTAAGTATCACCTTATCAGATCGGAGCAAGTTTTCAAGCCCATGAAGCTGGGTGGTCTAGGTATTAGGAGATTGGTTCCCTTTAATCAAGCTCTCTTGGGCAAATGGTTGTGGAGATACAGGAGGGAAAGACATTGCCCTTGGCGAAGGCTTGGTTTGGAGAAGAGAGTGGCTGTTGGTCTACCCATCCGGTTTCTCTTGTGGGAGGAGTCGGGGTGTGGAAATCCATTCGGAAGGGATGGAATGTCTTCTCTTCTCATATCAGATTCAAAGTTCGTAATGACAGATGTGTTCATTTTTGGGAGGATCTTTGGTGTGGTGACCAGCCATTATCTCGTACATTTCCCATATTATACAATATTGCAGTTGATAGACATGCTTACGTAGCTGACTATTATCGGCTTGATAGTAGTGGGATTACGTGGGACGTGCACTTTCGGTGTTCCTTTCAGGATTGGGAGATGGATGAGGTATGTGTTTTTCTGGATTTATTGTTATCGGCAGGAGGCAGTTAGCAGAGGTAGTGACGATTTGACATGGATCCCCTCTTCCCATGGTTATTTCGAAGTTCGATCCTTGTTTCTATGTCTATCTAACTTTGATAGCCTTGACTTTTCGTGGAAGACCATTTAGCGTTCTATGGCTCCAACCAGGGTGGCATTCTTTGTATGGTCTGCTGTATGTGGAAAGATCCTGATGATTGACAATTTGAGGAAGAGAGGTAACTATTTTGTTAATTGTGTTGCCTTTGCAAACAAGATGGTTAGTCAATTGATCATATTCTCATGCATTGCCCTATGGCGTACGATTTTTGGAATCTTATACTTGGTTTGTTTGACATGCGTTGGGTAATGCCATTCTACTAAGGATTTGATTCATGCTTGGAGAGGATGTCGTGTGAGAAGTGGTGTATGCGATTATTGGAGAATTGTCCCAAGTTGGGTTTTTTTTTTTTTTGGTTGATAAGTAAGAATTAAATATATGACAGCCACGATTTACACAATTCTCTCATTTTTCTTTAAAAAGCCTTTACACAATTCTCTCATTTTTCTTCTTTTTATATTTCTTCTATATTTCTCCTTGGTGTCAGAGCCAGCACCTTTCCACACCTTCCAGTAGCCTTTCTTCTTGTGCGACAACCACCTTAGGCTGTTTGCAACATCATGTAACATTGCCTACACATGATTTTCTGTGTCGCCGTTCCCCTTTTGATAATAGGTATTTTTAAGTTTTACAATTTCGTTTTTACTCTTCTAGGGTTGGGTAAATTGGAATGGTTAGTCTCCAACACCTAGAAGGGCTTGGGTAAAAATTTTCGAGTCTACATTGATGTTCTAGATATTGAGGTGGGTGCCTGGCTATATGTAAGCAGGTTGCGCTCCTTGAAAAATTCTGTATTTGGACTTTTCAGAAATGGTTTAAGGAGACATTGTTATTGTTTATGGTCTGAGGAGACCTTTTGATTTATTAACAGAATTTATAGTGTTTTTGGAGTTGTTTATGTGACAAATTATAGCAGATTTAGGGTCCTCGACTGTTAATTCTCTTGGCTCAAGTTCTATAGGTGGTGATGCCATTTTTCCCACCAATTCATTAGAAAATCCAGGACTTCAAATCACCACAGTGAAGTTGGATGGCTCCAACTATTTGATTTGGGCATAGTGTGCCAAGATGTTCATCAGTGGCAAAGGCAAGATTGGCTATGTTACTCGTTCAGCTCAGTCAGAGAAGGCATATCCATAATATCCACAGTGGTTTGTAGATAACGCTATGGTTATGTCTTTGCTAGTCAATTCGATGCAGCCAAACATAGCCGTTGGCTATATTTGGGATTCGGATTCGGATTCGGTTCAACGCACTTATTCTCAGAGACAAAATAATTTACGGATTTTCCAATTGGGGCGAGATATCACCAGGATTTCTCAAGGTGACTTGAATGTTTCAGGTTACATTGCCAAGGGAGATGTTATATTATGATTCCCTCCACTCTTGGAAGGATTCAGATGATGCAGTTTTATATGCAGTGATTGTAGAGAAGAATCGAGTGTTTCAGTTTCTTACCAAGTTGAACGATGAGTTTGAGTATACTCGTGTTCATTTATTGGGCTTATCTTCATTCCCTACTTTTGAGGATGCATACTCCTATGTGTTGTCAGAGAGAGTTGCCTGACTCATCCATTAGGTGTTGCTTCTGTTGATCGTTTTGCTATGGCAATTCATGTTCCCAACTTGAGGGGGAGTGTTCGCAGATGTGATAGCCACGATTTATGGAATTACTTACCATGTTAGCAGAGATTTGATATCCACGAATCATGGAGTTCGACTTAATATACGCATGTCTAGTCATAGAATATGTAATGATTTGATTTAATTTAATTTCCTTTCTTGTAATATGAGTATGTGCTCTTTTTATCTATAAATACTAGAGTTATGAATGAGTGATTCATCTCATTCAAGCCTTTACACAATTCTCTCCTTTTCTTTTTTTTCTTCTGTATTTCTTCTGGAACCTAGATTGAATATCGAAGCTCTAAGCTCTCTCTATATTTTTCTCAAGGCTCATATACTCTAGAGTGACTATAAGTTTATAACCATGTATTTATAGCCAATACCGGAGTCCCAAATAAAATAGAAATTTTTTCTCAATTAATTTTTTGAAATTCCTAATATTTTAAAAGTGGCCTGCCGATGATCGATTCATCAAGCTACAAGCTCAATTGATTGAATCCTTTCACAAGACTCCAATTAATGAGTTTGATTGATCGAGCTTCAGTAGTTTCGGTAGTTCTCTACTGTTCTTTCTTTCAAAAATTCTGACTAGAGTTTGCTACATACCTGGTTCAATCGATTGAAGTTCCCTGTTCTTGAAATTCTTGATTATTTTGGCTTAAATTCTTTTTAATGCTCAAACGTTAGGCCGTGGATGACTATCTATCTAATAAGTTAATCGACCTAGATTCCCATGTCCAATAAGGCCCTTTTACCCTTTCCTAGTCATGTCATTGAGCTCAATGAATTTCTTCATATAATATTCATTGTCGATTCATGTTCATCATCTTCAATTGTAGACATATAAATTAATAAGCATTTTATTCAGCGACAACGCGGTCTTGTATAGGAATTTGCCAACACATACCTCAAAATCTTAACAGAAGATTGGGCCTATTCATACACATCAGATTTTAGTTTATTATTGTTTATTTATTTATTTAACTGTTTTGTTGTTTCTTAAACTCCTTTGCCATTTATGTTGAGCTTCTGAAATATTTCCAGTTCCAACCGAACAAATGACTCCCCAAAATAAAATTGGCAATATAGCAGGTACTTGGATCTGTCTTCAGCCAACAATCAGTCTTTAAACATTTGAGAACTGTTTTGGGACTACAATTGCAGTCAAAATCATATTTACCTCTATAATTCATAATCTTCTGTAGTTTTGTTTAACAGCTGCGGGATGACCTGATGACGATGCTTATTGCTGGCCATGAAACAACAGCTGCTGTTCTTACCTGGGCTACTTTCCTACTCGCACAAGTATGTACCTCAAGACCAACTTTTCGATTCGGTAATACTAATTTCAATATAAAGAACTGTCTGCGGAAATTTTCTATGTTTACTTATTCTCCATTGATGGTGTGTATGCAACAAAACCTTTGCCCAAAATGTTTGCTTATTTTCCATTGATGAAGTCTTACTCAACAAACCAACTATTTTGGGTGGGTTAAATGAATCATGTTTCACCATTTTGCTCTATCTAGAACCCTAATGTCAGTCAAACCGTAAGTTATTTACGAGTGTGTTATTAAATTAATGTATGATGAATTAAAATGGTGCAGTATCCCTCCAAGATGAGGAAAGCTCAAGCAGAGGTTGATTTGGTGCTTGATCAGGGGAGAACAACTGTTGAATCACTTAAAAAATTAGAGTACGTCACAGAAACTACTTCTATGAACTCTTTCACTTGTAGTAGATATAAGTATATTCATATCCTCTTCTGCATATTATATTTGTGGCAACATTGAAATATGTTGATACTCATGCTCTTTTTAAAGTAATGGCACTAATATCGTCATGGACTCACGATGAATGTTCTATTAATGCAAAATAAGCTGTAACTGAGTCTTTAAATGAGTTGAATTATAGGGTGTAGAGAGGAAAGATAAGAGAAAGAGAGAAGAAGACAAAGTAGAATGTAAGAAAGGGTTGTAGAAAGTTAATTCTGACATCTCTACACCCATATATTTATATTCTTCGGGAATTGTAATTACAATAATTGTGGGATTTGAATTACAAAAATTGTGGTCAAATCCCAATGATTATACTCGCTAAATATTCTGGGCAATCCCACTGATCATGCTTACTAAATATTCTTGTCAATCCCGCTGATTATGCTTACTAAATATTCTTGTCAATCCCACTGATTATGCTTATTACAAGAATATTACCACATATTCCAACACTCCTCCTCAAGTTGGTGCATAGATATTTCTCATGCCCAACTTGCCTACAATAGAATGAAATGAATTCGAACTCAAAACTCTTAGTGAAAACATCAGCTAGTTGTTCTTCTGACTTCACGAAAGGCATACAGATCACTCCATGATTCAACATCTCCTTGATGAAATTCCTGTCAATCTCAATATGCTTCGTTCTATCATGTTGAACCTCGTTATGTGCAATGCTAATGGCCGCTTTATTGTCACAATAAAGTCTCATAGGACCATCATCCATAACACCGAAATCACTCATCAAGGTCTGAATCCAAATGAGTTCACATACCCTGATGTATTCCAAAACGTGGTATTCTTTTAAATTAAAAACCATTCGCAATAGCACTAGTCCTTGTAGGATACGGCTATGTAAAGGGTGTCGAACCACGGAGATTTCGAAGTTTATGGCTGTTAAATTTATAAGATTAATTCCGGTTTAATTCGAGATCGATTGGTTGATTGTTGTTTGTTAACTACGGAATTGAAATTGACTACTACAATGACAATCGAAAGTGATTAAAATTAAGTGAATAGAGAGATGGCTAGGGAATTGACTTCACCATCCCCTCATAATTATGGCTAATTGCGTTTATCATGGGAAAAACTATGAAATGCACGGCAATGATTCGTGTGGCTTACGCTCACAATGGAACCGTCAAGAGGACAAACGCACATACAAGTCAAGAACTACGCATAGTTCATCTTCGGTTAGCACATATTGTCCACCTAACTAAACTAAACTAACATGTAGTACAACTTGTCTTCTCTAAGTATAATATATCAAAGTTCTTGCTTTGTATGTATTAAACTATCTATATTATTTTTATTATTATTTTTATTAGCTGTTTTCAGCGTTTTATTAGTTGTTTTATGTAAGATCCCTATTATCAAGGGATCACGTAGATAAGATCCCCATAATCATGGGATCATGTAGATTTTGGCATATTTCTTTGTTTTTCTTTGATTTGGTTTCCTTTCTTTGTACCCTATTCTTATATATAAATATAGCTCTTGTCTCTCGGTTTGACTAAGCCTTTGGTATCAGATCAAAACAAAAACCTTTGCCTGCCCATCTTCCTCCCCAACGCCGCCACCGTCTCTCTCCCTCTCTCCATTTTCCCTCACCTCCGGCGCACCTCCATCTCCTCCCAGCCCTTGCACCGGACCCCTCGGGTAACCCTCTGTTTTTTACTCCTTTTTTAGGAGAATTCCATTAGGCTTTTTATGACCTAAGGGTCCTTGTGTTTTTTTTCTTTGTGGGCTGCCGGTGTTTGTTCGGCAACATATTTGGAGGAAAGCGCCGATTTTTTCGGCCTTGTTTTTTAATCTTTCCTCTTGCTTTGACGTCTGGACCAGCCTTATTTTGGTACTATGACTGATTCTAGTAGCCAAAAGGACCCTTTACTTTGAGATTTCTGTTGAGGAGGAAGTTTTGAAGGCGTTGAGGAACTATAATGGGGATAAAGGTCCGGGTCCGAATGGGTTTACTATGAGATTTCTGTTGGAGAGTTGGGATGTGGTCAGGGGCGAGGTGATGGGAACTTGTAATGTTTTTCATACTCAGGGAGATTTGAGAAATCTTTGAATACATCGTTTATAGCTCTCATTCCAAAGAAGGGCGAACCTATTGATGTGATGTAGGGGAGACCGACGCTCCAAGAAAGGGAACTCACCCAAGACCAGCGATGATAAGCACAACAACGAGGAGAGACGCCCATGCCGTGACAAGGGCAAGGACCATGGAGGGAGGTCCAAGGCTTGTGGCAAGGGTGAGCGCCACGACAAAGGCAAGTGGGAGTGGAAGTACTACTTGTGCGATGAGCCGCACATATTGTGACTCTACCCAACAAGAAGACAATGAGCACCCTTGTAAAGGATAAGGGCAAGGGCAATAGCAAGATGGACGATGCAGGCAGCGACGAAGATGCTGAGTAGCATGGCGCATGACACCAAGAAGAAGGGCAAGGCGAAGAAGGTAGCTGGGGTGCGCTATGTGGATGCGCAGGTTGGTGGCAAAGCCGTGCAAGCATTGGTGGACACGGGTGCCACACACAACGTCATTACCCCGAAGGAGGCGCAAAGACTTGGCCTGGAGACGCGCAAGACGGAGGGCTAGATCAAGGCCGTCAACTCTGAGGAAGCACGTGTGAGCAGAGTGTGCAAGGAGGTGGAGCTATGCATGCAAGGGTGGAAGGGCAAGCCCGACTTCCAGGCTGTGCAGATGGACAACCATGACATGGTGCTGGGGCTGGAGATCATGGACCGGAACAGCGCCGCACTAATACTATGCCTTAGGGCGTTGATGATACTTGGAGGTAAGAAAGGCAAAGCCACATGCATGGTGCCACTCGTGGGTAGGAAGGAGAGTTAAGAGGTGGAAGTCAACACGATGGAGCTCGTGAGAAACTCACACTTCCCGAAGGATGTGCGCGCATTTGGGCCAAGGACATATGCGCAAGTGCTGAAGAAACCGGGACAAGGGCGTCACGGAAATGGGTGGGGTAGGATGTCACGCCCCGCCTTGGAGGTTACGCCACGCAAGCGACGCACGCTGAGTAGGACGCTACATGGCAACTGCATGGCATAGGAGTTTCTAGGATTCTCCGAAGTAGTCTAGAGTTGTATGGAGGGTTCTAGAGTTGTGTAGAATAATACTTGAAGATATATATGGAAGTGTGAAGAAGGTGGGAGAAGATTCTACAGAATCGATCTCCACCATCGGTTAGAATGCATCACAGCTATCCATTACGGATGGGGATGCCTATAAATAGGAGTAGGACTTCACTTTGTAGCCATCAAGTCCTAGAGTGAGTCTTGAGAGCCTTGTAAAGAGTTTGAGTGTTAGCCTTGTACAAAGCATTCTTTGAAGTAATGGAAGTGTTCTTCCCTTGCCAACTTAAGTGCATTAGTGTGTGTGTGTGTGTAAGCCAAGTGAGGTGAGAGCGGGGCCACTACAACACTAGTAAGTACACGAGGGGAGTGTGTTGGCTAAGGTGTGCACGGTAGTTAGGTTCACTAAGTGTTTGCATGAGTAGAAGCAACACCTTGGTGCCGCACGGGTTTGACTAGAGTGGTGCCGAAACTCTAAGCCCGTGATATTAAGCTAACTAGGCTTCAAGAGGCTCGGTTACTTAGTAAAAAGTTCTCTATTTATTTACTTCTCTTAAGCACCACCAAACACAAAGGGGAACCGCCCTCCAAAAATCACTAGCGTGGCCCCCCACACTGCAATCTCTCTAAGCGTTAATCAAATCTCTCGAAGACCGAGGCATAACCCATTGGACGCCAAACAGTCCAAAAATAAGGCTCCAGCAGTCGTAGGCCACAGCACAATGGAATAGAAGTGTGATCCACAGACTCGTCATTCCTCTTGCATAAACAACACCAATTAACAGTAATCTATCTTTTCTTTCTCAGATTATCTACGTTCAAAATCTTACCCCAAACAGCAATCCAGACAAAGAAGGCCACTCTGAGAGGAGCTTTGGAGCGCCAAACCGTCTTCTAAAGGAAATTAGAACCATGAAAGTCAAAAAGACAGCAAAATAAGAAACAGGCCTCAAACCTCACCCTGTGGAGAAGGCACTCAAACCAGTGTGTCAACCATCCACCTCCTGTCTATACAGAAGCTCCAACAAACCAGAAACATCATCCAACTCCCAATCTTGAAAGGAAAGCCAAAAATGCACATCCCACGTGAGCCTACTGTTTTCAAGCCGATAACAATCACCTTATTATGTCTTTTCTATAATAGACATGACCAGCTTATAATGTAATTTTGGACATATAAATAGATTGATATTTCTATAAACATTTAGAACAATTATAACACTTGCATGCTAAGCTTAATGTCCATTGGTTGAGATTATCAGTTTTTACTAAATTGCATATATTGAATATATGCGTTTAAAAACCAAGGGTTGTGGCTTAGTGGTACTTCCTCACCTTCCGAAGTAGAAGGTTGAGGGTTTAAGTCCTCATAGGGGCAAAGTGGGTGTGAGTTTCAACTAGGAAAAGGATTTTTTAGCAACTTTTCGATTGATAAAGATAACATCTCACTTTCTTTTCATATTTCAAGACTTTGATACTTTCTTTTATATTTACCTATAGGAATTCAATTTATGGCAACATTTTTATGGAAGGAAGAAGGAATTTTAAAGAATTTATTGTTGTTCTACATTTTAACTTCATAAATATATCAACATTATTTAGTTAAATCTTTTACATCACTTGGAATATTAGCTAATGATAAATTCTTGAGTCTTTTAGTTATCTTGTTGCTATAATTTGAATTTGGATTTAATACACCAATTTAGATCTGTTCATTTTTCTTGTCATCTTTAACCTAATTATGGTGTGAACTTTGAGAAGCTATACTTAAGATTATGCTTCCTCATTAGTATAACAATTTGTTATATTCAATGCTTTCAGGTATACAAGACTAATTGTTGTTGAGACTCTACGTTTATATCCTCAACCTCCATTGCTCATCAGACGTGCTCTCAAATCAGATTTATTACCAGGTATTAGTTTTGATTGAGATCAAAATAGGTGAGGATAACTTTATTACCAAAATGAGGAAAAAACAATAAGACTCAAAAATGAGGAATTAACAAAATAACCACCAACTTCTCATAGTCCAAGAGGATAAGCCGAAAGCCTCTCACAAACTGAGTGAATAGACTACAACACAACAAGGCAAAACCTAAAACCCTTCACAACTCGAGGGAATAAGTAACTGACAGAAAAGGCATAACGTTACTAAGAGGCACCCCACTATTCAGGAGAGGATTCCCATTTTTTAGATTGGTTGCCTAGGAGGTATCGTGGTTTGTTCATGGTAAGAATTCTTAGGCTTACACCATAACTTTGTAAATGTTTTTCCCTAGCCATCTTAAGCCTAAAAATTTCCTCTTCAAAGTTTCCCCTTGTTCTCTCTATCAAAGGAGGTGATCTGCATACCAAAATTAGATGATTTGATAAATGATTTGATGAGTTGTAAGATAGCTTATAATTAGGGATTCCATTCCAATTTAGATGATTTATAGATTGCTTGTAGTTAGGAATATTATTTGTGGATACCCAAAATCTCGGGATATGATTATTGTAAGCATTCCTTGTATAGAATAGTAAATATTATTATATAAAGGAAGTCTCCTGAAGGGAAAGGTAGACAAGTTTTCTCCAGAAATTCTCTTTGTTCTCTTTGTCTTGTCATTGTATCAGAGCCAGGCTTGATACAAAATACGTTCTAAGTTTATTTTGGTAAGATACATCACATTTTTGTTAAAAACTATGGTGTCTTTTTTTCCAAGGAGTTGCAGCATTTTGGTGACAATCTTGGTTTGAGTTGCAGTCAGCACATCTCAGGTTCTCATTCATCTTTTCTCTTTTGTTTGAGTCTCTTTTGAAGTTTTTTAGGATGTCAGAAAAGTCAAAAATCTTGTCCATTAAATTGAATGGGAAGAATTATTTTTCTTGGGAGTTTCAATTCCGTATGTTTGTTATAGGGAAAGAATTGTGGGGACACATAGATGGTTCAATCCCAAAATCAAAAGTTGGGACTGAAAATGCTAGCATAGCTAAATGGGAGTCTAATGATGCCAAGATAATTAGTTGGATTTTAAGCTCAATAGATTCTAATATTGTACTCAATTTGTGGCCTTATTCCAATGCTAAAGATATGTGGGGTTATCTAAAAAAGATTTACAATCGAGAAAACTCTGGGAGGCGTTTTCAACTTGAATTGGACATATCTGAATATTCCAAAGGCCAAAACTTTTATTCTGGATTCATGAATCTTTGGGCTGAATATAAGGAACTAATTTATGCTACTATCCCAAGTGAGGGGCTACCATCTATTCAAAAAGTGCATGAAATTACTCAAAGAAATCAGTTTCTTATGAAATTGAGACATGATTTTGAATCCATTCGCTCAAATCTGATGGCTAGAGATCCTTGTCCATCATTGGATATATGCTTTGGTGAACTTCTCCGAGAAGAACAAAGTTGTTTGACTTAAGCTGTGATTGAACAAAAGGGTGTTGATTGTCAATTCTGCAACTACTGTAAGAAGTCTGGACATTTAATTGTTGATTGTTGTAAGCGACCTCAAAATCGAATATCCCAGGCTTTTCATGCTACCACCACAGTGGGTTCTCCCTCTACTGCTACGACTATGCAACCTCCTCAAGCTTTTACTGCTTCTAGTTCTTTGACTCTAGAGGTAGTGCAACAAATGATTCATTCTGCATTTGCTGCTCTAGGTCTCACAGGTAAAACTACTTCCTCATCTATTTGGTATGTTGATTCTGGTGCTTCCAATCACATGACCTCTTCCTCAACACATCTCACTAATGTGAAACCATATGTGGGCAATGTGCAAATTCATAGTGCTAATGGAGAACATCTTCCCATTAAGTTGGTGATATCCCCCAGTCTTTGCCATTACATAATATTTATCATACACCATGTTTGACCTCTAATCTTATTGTGGGAAAACGTGTTTAATGACTTGTATTCTATATGTGTATAGTTAGCTATTTTAGGAAATTTTGTAACAGCCTGTATTCCTAGAATTAGGCTAATTTGGTTAGTTTCCTATTCTGTTAGAATATCCCATAAATCATGGGATCTGATATAACCTAGTTAGCTTTCATTTTCTGCTGCTAGGGTTGATGTATATAGCTATAACGTTTTGTGGATTATTAGAAAAGTATGAAGAAAATTCTTTTCTCAGTTTGTGTCATGGTATCAAAGCTTTAGGCTCTTTTTTGGGATTAAAAACCTCTTCACACAGGCCTTCATTGCCGAGACCATACTGCTGCTTCTTTGTACCTTGTTTTACCCTGTTTTTTAGTTCAAAAACAGAGTATTTTTGCACTTTTTCTGTTTAACCTTCATTGCTGAAATTTCTTAAGAGCAGTTTCCGTTCTTATTTCTACCTTTGCCAGCCTTCATTGCTGGTGGTTTCTGTTTCAGTGATCGGCCTTAATCGCCAAAAGATCATTGTTCGTGAAGAATGTCGGAGGTTGCAGAGACGACCGCTACAGCACAATCGGAGGAGATTGTTCGATCCCAACAACCCGGAGAATTACAAAATATCTAGTCATCATATAGGCTGAATGGAAAAACCTACCTCAAATGGTCTCAACTTGTCTGTGCCGTGCTGAAAGGCAAGGGAAAGATCAGCCATCTCATGGGTACAGGGCCGAAACCAGGAGATCCTCGTTTTGAAGCATGGGATGAAGAAGATTCTATGATTATGGCGTGGTTGTGGAATTCTATGATTCCTGAGATTAGTGACACGTGTATGTTCTTGGCTACTGCCAAGGATATTTGGGATGCGATTCAACAGACATACTCAAAAGCTAGAGATACGACTCAAGTATATGAGGTGAAGGTGAAGACGATTGTAGCAAAACAAGGGAGTAAATATGTTACTGAATATGCCAACCAATTGAAATCTTTGTGGCAAGAACTTGATCATTATAGCTGATAAAAACCCAAGTGCCCTGAAGATGCCATTGTTATAAAGGATTTCATCGAGCAAGATAGAGTCTATGATTTTCTTATTGGACTTAATCCAGAATTTGATCAAGTGAGGATTCAAATTCTCGGCAAGCAGGAAGTTCCGTGTTTGAATGAGGTGGTGGCACTGATTCGAGGCGAGGAAAGCAGAAGAGGTCTGATGCTTAAACCACAGAACACGGATAACTCGGCTATGGTGGATAGTGGTGGCAATAATTCAGTCACAAATGTGGAACGAGCACCAGTTTTTGAAAATGGGAGACCTGGTCAGCCAAAGGCCCAAAACCGTGATTATAAGGACAACTTGTGGTGCACTTATTGTAAGAAGGCATGCCATACTCGTGAACGGTGTTGGAAACTTCATGGAAAACCTCCAAGCCGAGAGTGGGGATAGAAAGGAGAGCAGCGAAGGAATAATGGTCAAGCTCATGTTGCTGTGGTACAGCAAAATGAAGCAGCACCACAGGAGTTGGGCAATCTCAACCAAGAAGAGGTCGAGAGGGTGAGATCTCTTATTGACAATCTTGACAAACCTTCAGGTACTTGCTCATTGACATATTCTGGTGTGTTTCCTACCTCTATTGGATTAAATGTCTCGGGTGAAACCTTTGCCAACTCCTGGGTCATGGACTCAGGAGCTACCGACCATATGACCCACTCACCGAATGGTTTTTCCACATATTTGCCATACCAAGGATTAGGAAAATAGCCACAGCCGATGGTTCCTTGACCACTGTAGCAAGTGTAGGAGATGTCAAAATAAGCCCATCACTGATTTTAAAAAATGTTCTCTATGTTCCTAGATTATCCATAAACCTTGTCTCTATTCAAAAACTCACTCAAGATTTACGTTACAATGTGGTTTTTCATCATACTTATTGTGTACTTCCAGACGAGGATTCAGGGAGGATGATTGGACATGCTAGAGAACGGGATGGGCTCTACTACCTCGAAGCACCATGTCAGTCAAGCATTACCAAGGGCAAATTATCTCACTCTTTTGTTTTTGAGCATTTTTCGTCCAATAAAGAGAAAGTTTGGCTTTACCATCACCGACTTGTACATCCGTCATTTAGAGTCATTAAAATTTTATTTCCTTCTTTATTTAAAGGTTTAAATGTTGAGAATAAAAGAAGTTCTATTCCTTTTTATCTCATTCACAGTGATATTTGGGGTCCTTCTACTATTCCTAATGTTTCTAGGGCACAATGGTTTGTGTCATTCATTGATGATTGTACTCGTGTTACTTGGATTTTCTTGCTCAAACATAAATCCGATATTAGTACTACTCTTCAAAATTTTTGTTCTATGGTTAAAAATCAATTTGGGGTCAATATCAAAAGGTTTAGATCGGATAATGCTAGAGATTATTTCAAGTCCTAACTCCATACTTTCAGCAGGAAGGGATAGTACACGAGTTATCTTGTGTCAATACCCCACAACAAAACGTCGTAGTAGAAAGGAAAATTGGTCACTGTTAGCATATATGATACCACAATTTATGGTATGACTTACCATAAAAGCAGAGATTTGACTATGCATATGTTAGCATATATGATAGCCACTATTTATGGAATGACTTACCATAATAGTAGAGATTTGACTATGCTATAGAATATGCCATAGAATATGCTTTAGAATAAGTTGTGATTTGATTTAGTTTCCTTTCTTGTAATATGAGCATGTGCACATTTTATCTATAAATACTAGAGCTGTGAATAAGTAATATAAATCATTCAAGCCTTTACGCAATTCTCTCCTTTCTTTTCTTTTTATATTTCTTCTTGTTTCTGTTGCCTCGATTCCTGTTCCTTCTAGTGTTGCAAATGCACTAGCACAACCTCAATGGTGTGATGCTATGACAAAAGAACTACAAGCACTTGAGAAAAATCAGACTTAGGACATAGTTTTGCTTCTTATTGGACGAAAGCCTGTGGGTTGTCATTGGGTGTTTATAGTTAAGCATAATCTAGATGGGTCAGTTGCTCATTAC